AAAAAAAAAAAAAAAAAAAAAAAAAAGGCAAGTTACTTCAGTTTAAAAAAAAAGCCATAGATGGAAAGTTGTCTTTGAAAAATAAAGTAGTTAAAATGGGAAATCAGCAATGGCGAGTTCTGGAACTGCAGGGCAGCGCTCTGTAGGTGAGACTGCAGTCTAAGGGGTCTCTGTCTCAAAGGGGAGGGATGCATCAGGCCCCAGCTGTTGGATGAAGGAATGCCTCATGCATGTTCCAGCCTCTGGAATGCCCAATTCCACCTATCCTGAATTCAGAACTCTTATGGACCACTCTGACAAGGAACAGCCTTTGTTGAAGGGATGAATCATGGAAGGCCTAGCTAAAACTCCAGCTCCTTCTGTAGCCAGGGCAGTAGCACAAGAAGATTCAGTCCTTCCAATTTTGTTCTTTGTTGCAGGACTCTGCACTGACAGAGGGGGAAAGGCAGATGGCAAATTTGGAAAATAACTCTCAGAGATTGCTGCTTTCCAGGTAGGAAATTCTCTTTGTTCCTTAAATGAGGCTCTATTTCTTTTTCCCTCTCTGATCTTCAGCTCTCCCTTGCTTGTTCAACAAAAATTGATTATGAACAATTTCTAAGGACCTGAGGAACAAAGAGAGACTGTGAATTTTCAGGTGAAAAAAGACCATCTCTTACAGAGCCTCCTGTTCTTAAGTCATAACTTTGATTTCTCCTCAAATGATTGCCTGTACACATGGTCACACTGCCAGGGACTCTTCCCAGACTCCTTAAAGCCCAGACACATATCCTGAACTTTTAAAAACCTCAAAACTTTGAAGGACCACTCTGCCAAGGAACAGCCCTTGTTGAAAGGATGAAACATGGAAGGCCTAGCAAAAACTTATTTTCAGACAAGGTACTAAGCTGCATGTATCAGCTTTGCAGATCTCAAAAAAGTTCCTGATGGATCCTGCAGATGTGGCTTGAGCCTCCGTAAAACATGCACAGGTCAGAGGAACTGGCTGTATCCTCAGTACAGGACAGCACACACTACTATATTCTCAGCATTCCTAGAAGAGAAATTATTTTAGTCACTGAGTAGCAGTGGGAAAAAAAACCAAAAAAATCACTTTCAAGGAAAAAGACAGTAATAGTAAGTGTAATAGCACCCACAAAGTTGTGGGTGAGTGTGATTTAGGAAAGAACCAAGGAAGGAACTCTGATTTATGGAAGAAACACCCTCAGCTAAGCTTCTCTGAATCTGACTTTGGAAGTTCCACAAACATTCAGTAATCTAAGGACACCTTCATGAAACAGATAACTCACCCTACTTTTGCCATTCTTACCTCAACTATCAGTAATTTGTGACATCTGATTTGGAAATACTAGGCTTGTTTCTTTTGAGGATTTAACACCATACAGATTTGTAGCATGGTCCACTTTGACTTTTTTTTACAATATTAAAAACAAGCGCTACGTGGGTGGATTCCACGTGGCTCTTGCTGTGTGCTGAAGGGCACAGGCACTCACCTGCCTGGGTGGACTTCCTTCGGGCTTTCTTGATCTCCTCTTCTGTCTTGTTGCTGAGTTTCACCTCCAGCTGCTGTGTTTTCATTTCCAGATCCTTCTGCCTCTCTGTCAAGGCTTTCCGGGCCTTGGAGTAATGAAGGAGAGTCAGAAGTTACAGAGAAAAAGATCTGGCAGCTGCTTTCAGCCATGCAGGACTCCTTCACACAAGTGGTTCTCAGCAAGGAGTCAGTAACTTTGCATGGAACTGGGTCCTAACAGGGATTCAGGTTCTTACAACACCATGTGCAGCTCACAGAAGTGTCCTGTGGCCACAAAGGAGTCACCACCAACAAATCACAAACTCATCTGAACTCCTCACAGAGTCTTAGAAAGGCAAGGACTAATGGCATCATCAGGCTCTCCTGTTTCTTAATAGTTTTCTCATTGTTTCTGGAAGAAAAGAGAGCTGAAGCCTCCTTCAAATGTCTTAAACAGCATCATGACCAAGACACCTCCTCCATTCACTTTTCTTAGGATCTGAATAGTTGAAGTAATTTCAGGTATCTTACAAAATTTGTCTTTAAGTAAGTTCTGGACTCAAGGTACACCTATCACAAACTAACAATAGGAACTTAATTCAGAAAAACTTATTCAGGTTCATGCCAACAGTAGAAATCAAGCACCTGAGGTCTGGTTACAACTGGTGACTTGAACTACTTTACTTAGAAGTTCTTCAAGCTGTTAAAACCTGATTTATCAGTACAAATATATATTATATAGGTAAATTAGTAGAGTACCTTAACAAATAAACATTGTTACATGCTGGCTGATAAATACATAAAAATAATTCGTTTTGCATGGATTTGTTATAAAACATGTCACATTTGTTCTTTATACTGTACTAGTGTTTCAAACTAAATTGGCATATTTTCTTAGAACTTTGCAGTTTTTTACAGTCACACCAGCCTAAAAGTTACAGGTCTGATGAAGCATTCCTGGAATTTTTTCCATGTGCAGTTCCAAGGCCCTGGTGGGTCCTGCAGGTCTGGAGATGGAGCTGCAGGAGAGCTGAAGGGAGTGCAGAGAGTCACAGCTCTTCCCTTCTTCCCAAGGTAATTCTGAATTCACTCTTCCCAGTATTGCTATTGAGTTGCTTTGCAGATAAGAGTGTGAAGAACTTCGTGTTTTGCAGAAAAATGCCTTCCCTGCAGACACTCAGCCTAACGACTTTGTGTATCCTGCCACAGCTCTGTCCCTGGGGAACTCCTGCTGAGCTTTAATGAAAGTACAAACAGCTTCGGGGATGACTGGGAATGGTATTTTCCCTGCCAATTTACGCCCAAAAGCAAACTCATGAGGATACAATTTGGCAGCTGAGACACAAGCATCCCCATTTCTGCCAGCTGCTGCTGGGAGATCATATTTTGTGAGTCTAACTCCCTGCAGCACAACCTCAGCCACCTCCTGCTTGGTGTTACATCAGCCCATTACTGGGTGCTCCTGCTGTTTGGATTTTTTCAGTGAAGATGTTTCTTGTGAAGGGTTTGTGATTTGCCAGGCCAGGGTCCAGCTGCTTTTGGCCACTGAGCCAGGTGAGTCTCTGACCTGACCCTGCTGCCATTCTGAGGCAAGGTGCCCTAAATTTTGAAGACAACAGATGCACACTAATAAGAAGTATTTGCATGAAGTTTATTGCCCCAAGATGGCAAGGGGAGGATGAACCAAAAAGCCACTTCAGCAGCAGGATGTTTGCCCCTCACTTGCCAGAACTCAGCTAAACACTGAACTGTTTCTGGGCAAAAAAACCCCTATTTCTGGGGCTGGGCAAAGCACAGCTAACAGTGAAAGCCCTCAACAGGAACAGCTGTGATAGAACAGAAACTCTCGATGGGCAGCTGCTCTTCTCAAAGCAGCAGTGCCTCAAAGCCTCCAGGCTGCTCCCACCTTTTCCACAGCCGTGTAGCGGCTGGCCAGGTGCTTCCGCAAGTCCGCGATGTGGTGGTCACACTTCTTCATGTCCTTCTTGAAGTTCTCTCTGAAGTTCAGCAGGGGTTTCTCTACCTCGCTCTGGAGCTGGCAATGAAAACAAAGAAATGGCACTAATGAGGAGCCAGGCAGTAATTCCTGGCTCTTCACACAGCCACAGAATCGCTAAGCTGGAAAAAACCTCCAAAATCATCAAGTTCCGTCGTCAACCCAGGGCTGTCAGGTCCCACCACTAAACCCTGCCCCTAAAGTGCCACATCCACGTGTTTCTTGCACACAAACAGTAGGAAGGATTTGGAGGATGCCACAGGAGTTTCTGTGCAGAGTTTAAGGAGAAATAAAATAATGGAAAAGCCCCTTTCGACCTGTCCTGCCTACACACACACATCATTCCAAGGTGCATTTTTCCTTTTGGAAAACAATACAGGGGGACAATGGGGAGCAAAAAGTATTTCACTAATTACAGGCCTGATGTCGAAGTTTAAGGCAGAGCAGTGGGTTACCAAGGCAGCAGCTGGTTGCCTGAGTAACCTCTGCTGAATTGCTTACAAATGGTGCAGAGCTATAATTTTCCTCCAGAACATGGCTGTTGTGCTGAGATATCTGCCACTGTATTGAACTTGAACACCTACAGAGGTTACCAGAATGTAACAGGATTTAAGAGCATGTCACATGTGGTGGAAAAAACCCAGATAAATACCATAATTTGTAAAAGAAATCTCCTTGGGCATCACTTGAGATGAAACCCAAAAATAACATGATGTTCCCGGCAGACTTTTGAGAAAGGCTAATGATACAAAAAAAGCCAGAATTCTGGTTCTCTTCCTTCCAGACAGATAGAGTAGATTCTTGTTGAGAAGCCAAATATTGCTTTTCATTTCTTCCTTTGCAGAAGTGAAGTGTACAAGCATTAGTTAAATTTACTGGCTGGAACACAGAGCCCAGGTGAACAACATCTAGAATCAGTTTGGATTCTTTTTTATGAAAAATTAAAGATAGATGTGTTTTAATTTACTCATCAGGTAGACAAAATAACCTGATTTTGAAAGGAAGACTGGACAGAGTTTCAGTAAGTTTGTTCACCAACTTATTAATTCTTCTAAATTTGTACCACATGCATGTGTATTTACCCCACTAAAATGCACTGAAGGGAGAGGCCCACCAACTGAGGGCAAAAATCTTTGGAAAAGAAAGAACCATTTACCTTGGAAGAAAATTTGAGATGAACCTCTGCTTCATCAGCTAAACTCTTCTTGAGCTGAGCCCAAGCTTCTCCCAGTGTGCTAAAGGAAGAGAAGGACAATGATCAGACCCTCTGCCATCCTTCCTCGTGGGATCTGTCACAGAAATCTGGCACAACACTTTGTACCATATCTTGATCAGCAAAATCATGGAAAAGGGTAACAGAAATCTGAGGAAACAACCAACCTTTGTGACCAAGGCAGAATTACGTTGGCACTGCTCGCAGCAGATCTTTGAAAACCCAGTTCATGACAATCTCCACTTACAGAGACACCAGAGCCTCCCTCAGCAAGACTCTTCAGTATCTTATCCTCACCATAACAAAGAACCAATGCAGTTTATCTGCCTCCTCTACTTTACACCCTGCTTCAGAGAACAGATTTTCACTTCAGCTGAAAAGTCTTGGAGAAGCTTTTCAGCACTTGAAAATATCACTGTTGTCTTTTTCCTTCAGATTATTTCCAGGACAGTGTCAGCTGAGGTACACTCCTCCAGATCCTCTACGACAGCCCAGACTCCTCTTAAAGCATCATAACTAAAACTACACTGTCCCCAGCACAGTACAACTCCAGGGGCTAAACTGGTAACAGATCCTTTTGTATCAGACACTCTTCTACATATTTCAATGCGATTGCCTTTTTAGACAACAGCATGAAGTTGTTGATGAATAAGCTTGTGATTCACTATAGCCAGATCCTTCTCCCACAAACTGTTATGTAACTGTATCTTTCACATCCTGTGAAAGTATAAAACCCGCTGCTTTGTCCTCATTAAAATGCATATTTTTTTCAGTTAATTTATCCATTTTAACATGAGAATTTTGAATTGCAACCTTTTCTTCAAATTACACATTCCAACCCTCCCAGCTCTGTCATATCTCTGAATACAGTAAATCCATCATTTCTTCTATCACAGGTTGTTCATTACAAAAACATTTTAAAGCCCCCTGGACTGAGGACAAACCCTTTGGGATCTCATTCCACTGATACTTTCTGCAGTTTAGTTTCTGTAAGCAGTGGGTTTTTCCTACCTAGTTTTTTGCACATTAAGTTTTATTTAGGCCAACATTTCTCTTGTCTGCCTACGAGAATCTCCCATCACAAAAAGCAATACTAAATTAAGAGCTGTGATGCTTGACCTACTCTCTTACTCCATCACTGAAGGAATTTAGGTTGGCTTGGCATGGTTCTCTATGCATATAAAACAACTGCTCACCTCCTTCTTTTTGAAAATTTGATGGTTTATTCCACCACTCTGCAAAGGTTAAATAAAGCTGAGTGATCTACAGTTCCTGGCTCTTTCTGTCTCTTCCCTAGACTATTTTCAAGGATAATGAGATTTGACTGCTCCGATAGCCTGAAAAATCACCTGTCACCTGCAATCTCAAACGAATGATCTGTCACCTCTGATGCTGCTGCAGGGACTCGAGTATGGAGTGTGGTGTTCATCAGCTAAACAACTTAGATACACCTACAGAAGTGCTCCCAATATTGCTCCTTCCCTGAGGTCATCGCCCACTGCCCAGTTCCCACTGACACTAATTACACTAATTACAGGTAACACTGTTATCTGATCCAGAAGAGCACCACTGGACAGTGCTTTCAGCTCCCTGCACTCTGCACTATGCCCTTTCCAGCCCCCTGCTTCAACATTTTTTAGGCTTGAGTGCTCATTCCCTTTCTCTCTTTTCACCTACTCTGGCCTAGTTTCCTTCCCCTTCATTGTTTGTCATTCCCTCCTTTTCCCATTGGGGGCAGGAGAAAGTGGAAGGAAGATGTGGAAGAAAGTGGATTTGGCTTTGCTAGGATCAGCTGAGCATCCCCTAAGGAGAAAGGAGGGCAAAAACCACTGCCACTGGAGGTGCTCAGGGCAGTAACAGCCCAGTTATCCTCCTGCAATTTCTGTCCTTGCCTCCTGGAAGCTGAGCAAAACACCTCCTGCAGCTTCAGTGCTGGCAGAAACACACTGTGTCAGAGGTGAGGACAGTGATTTCCAGCTTTGGCCTCCAGTGCTCAGAGGGTTTCTGGTGAAACAGACAGGCAACCAAGGTCTCATCCTTCAGGAGTGGTGCCTTTGCATTATTCCTGAAGAACTGCACTGCCTAGTCTCTTCTTAATAACTTCCCGAGTGTGCAAATGTTGGAAAGAAGCAGTAGTCTGCTGCTTTTCTTGAAGAGCCAGAGCCCTGATGAGAAGAGACTGCTTTATCCTCCCTCCTGTCTGTGCTGCTCTGATTGTACCAGTATTGACCTCACACATCTACTCTCAGTAGTGCATATATTTATATATATATTCTATATAGCCTTCCATTTTCAAAGTAGTTTAGCACACATACTTGCTAATCCTGGAAGGAACCAGCCCTGGCTACAACAAGGACAGCATATAAACCTGACTGGAAAGGCATCATTTTATACACATATTCCTAAAACACTTCTCACTAACAACCTAAAAAAAACCCACCCAAACAACTAACTCCGAAGCAATTCCACCTTCCCCAACATGCCCAGAGTGCTAATCTAAATAAACCTCTACTCAGAGGGAGAGAGCTGGGGAAAATTACTTGTACCTGCGTGGGAGAAATGCCTTTTATATTAAAATTCATCTTCTGTGGAAGTCACAGAGACACACTTACCCTTCTTCCTGAGCAGCCAAGGAATTCTGAGACAGTTTGGACAGGTTCTTAGCATATTCCTCCTCAATCTTTATCCTACACTCACATACACACAGAGAGAAAATAAAAAGACAGCAGTAAGTAAGCTTTAAGGCAGAAACCCACACACATAATTTGAAGAAATTCTGTGCATTTTAACAGATTTTGCCACAGGAATTTTCCTTTCAGTCTCCAGGGCTTGGCAGCTCCAGCACCAGTTTGATGAGCTGTCTTCTCCCCCCATATGCTAAAAATGCAGAGGCAAGAGCAGGGCTATATGCAGGATGGCATGTGAGACAAAATTAGCTGCAGAAGCTGCAGTTCTGGAGAGCAAGTAACAAGGACAGAGTGTTTCTGCTGTGCAACACGGGCTGTCTGCAAAAGCAGAAGCACATGGTTCAGTCTGCTGTGAAATGTGAGGCTGCACATCCTTGAGGCAAAAACGAAGGTGTGGCGACCCAGGGAAAACCCAAGTGAGATTTGGGGGGCTGAAGTGCCCCTTTCTCAGGGACACCAAAGGCTTCCTGCTCTCTGTTATGGGTGGCAAAGCATGGCAGAGATGGCACACAGCTGGTGCAACCCTTTCCTCTCACTCATTGCCCATCCTGCTCTTCACCCACTTGGAGGCACCAGGAAGAGGAGCTGAACTTGCCAGTGGCAAGGGAGCAGAGGGAAAGGTGTTGGCACACTGCTGCTGTGGGAATGACTGCAGGGAGGAGGAGGAGCTGTGGATGAGGGACAAGGTCTGTGCTGACAGCCCAGCAGGGAGGAATGAGCAGCTGCTGGTGCAGAGGTGATGGCCATCCTGCCTGAAACCATCTTCTGCCAGCAGTGAAACAACTGCAAGGTGCACATGCTCCCAGGCACAGCAAACAGCTGTCTGGTCACTGGTTTTCAACCCAGCTCACCTGACAGAACATTTCTGACAGAGCAGTGTGGCCCCCAGGTATAAAAGCTCCTAATTCTGTGCCAACTATGCACGAGCAGGGGCAAAACCTGCTCTGAAGTGTTTCTCAGGTGGGATATTCCTGGCAGTCCCATTTGCAGGAGCTAGTTGAGCAAATGCACTTTTGTGGGGTACATCTGAGCTGAAAGGGGTTCCCTGAGATAGCTGAGAGGGATCTGATGCTCTGGACTGCTGAAAATATCCTGGTGGATGGTGTGGGAGGGGAAGTGCCAGCTGTTGTTATGCTCACAGGAGCTCAGGGGAGGAGCAGGTCTGGGTGCCACAGCAAAGCCATTGATTGGGATGCTCCAACCAGCTGATTGGGATGCTCCATCCAGCTGACTGGGATGCAGCTGCCTGAGGTCCAAGGTGATAGCCAGCTTGGTGTGACACAGTCCTACAGACCTTACCCAGAGCTGGGGTCCTCTTCTTCCCCCTGCCATGAGGACAAAACCAGCCAGCTCCCCACGCCTGCTCTGACAAAACCAACAAACACAGGCATCAAAGGCTCCACTGTGTCAGGACCTCACTATGAAAAGGGTGAGGCAGGCACATTTATCCAGGCACATTTCACCTAAGGTACTTTAAAGACCTGCTTCAGGATGAGACTGATCTTGTCTCAGAAGTGACAATTTCTGTGGACTGGAAAAAGAGAATGGGTCAAAAGTAATGACGATGCAAATGTCTCTCCCCAGAACCAAGGCTCACTGCTTTGGGCTCAGTTTCCAGCCAAATCCTAGTCCACAGCCTTCATCATGAACTTCATTCCTGCTGAATTTTGTCTTTAGGATGCCTTTGAGTGATTTTCTGTGGATGCTGGCTGTTCTGAGCAGCAGACCCTCACAGAACCTGTGTCTCAGTGCTTTGTCTCATGAACAGAGGAGTAGCTGACCATCTTCCATCAAAAAGGCCTGCTGTGAAAATATTGAATTTAAAATCCTGACAAGTTCTTCCCTGCTACTACTGAAGCTGAGGAATTATTGAACATAATAGGACAGCAGCAAGCCTCATGCCTTCAGAAGGGAGGAGAGTAGGTTTAGATGAGATATTAGGAAGAAATCCTTGCTGACAAGGGTGGGGAGGCCCTGGCACAGTGCCCAGAGAAGCTGTGGCTGCCCCTGGATCCTTGAAGTGTCCAAGGCCAAGTCACACAGGGCTTGGCTCAATCTGGGAGGTGTTCCTACCATGGCACTGGGAAGGGTGAAACTGGATGAGCTTTAAGGTCCTTTCCAAGCCCAGCATTCTGTGATTCTCCTGATTTCACAAGCACACACAAGACACCCTGTGTCTGGTCTGGTGTCACCAGTGCCTGTCCTAAATGTGGCACCAGGCAAGCAAAGCCACTGGCTTTGATGGAAGAGCTCCTCACTGGCTCCAGCTCTGGCCCAGGCTCCAGGATTTTTTCAGGGATTTGAGGTGTTACTTGTACTGCAAATGGATGGCACTACTGAAAGGGCAGGCTGCCTGGCAAGGAGGAACATCAATAAAAGATGAAAATAAAAAGGTGAAATGTCTATAGTGAAGAACTTCAAATATAATAAAGAAATTATTCTACCCCAGCCTGGTTTCCTGTCACCATCTGTAGCCAAAAGGGGCTAAAAACCAAGATAAACCTCAAAGAGGGGAAAAAAATCTGCCTTTTGACCCTGCTTGATATAAACACACTGCAAACTCTGGACTGTGGTGACTGTAAAACACAAACATGCCACAACTCCTGAGTCCATTTTCAGACATTCACGTGGCTGTTTGGCAGTAATTCCACCTTCCTAACAGAAAAAAAAAGCTACAAGCTCGTTTCCACTCATTTGTTTGAGAACTTTCAGGATTTCACTCCCTATATAGTCAGAAGCATTATGGATTTTAAGTGCATTTTGACCCATACTGACTTTACTAGTTCTAGCTGATCTTTGGATGTTTAGTTCCTGCTCCCTTTTACTTTTTTTTTTTTTTTTAAGTACTTTGTGTGCCCACACTGAAATAATTTCAGTCCTGACATATTATGGTGGTTGAAGAAAAACTAGAGAGCTGCAAAGGGAGGCAAAGATGATCTGATGTGACTGCCATGCAAGAATAAACTAAATAGATGAAGACAACAGGGAGAACAGGGAGAAAAGGTGGTAGAGGATATCTGACAGACAGCTCCACAACTGCCACCGAGGGAAGACTGAGTCTTTTTACACTGCTCCTCCAGATGAGTAGGGAACAATGAAATTATCAGACATAATTACTTCTCCTGTAGTGCAGAGACTGCAGAAGTCTCCCACAAATTGCTGCAGAAAAACAGTGAAAGGTGCATATATGGGTCTGCTGAACATGGCAGAAGCTAAATAATCTGCTATTTAACTTACATTTTCTAAACATAGCACTGCTTAATTAAGAAGTGAATAACGGAAACACTTTGTTAATGGAAACACTACTTCTTATACCTGGTGCTTCTCAGGGCAGTGTGCAGATGGTTTTGGCTGTTTTGGAGCGTTCATGAATGCAAATTCCGGACCTTATTTTCACTTTTGATTTAAAGTAATACCTTCTTTCACACCAACACCCTGGATTTTTTCAGCTCAGTATATTTATTAATTACTTTACTCCCTTTCTTGAGGTTTGTCTTCCTAAAAGTCAAAGTCTGTGACTATTTGACTTTCATAACCCCACCTCTGTCAACAAGAACTGAATGAACATGTATTTGCTCAGTCTGAAGTCATATGTGCAAGAAGCTCCTGGAAAAGCATCAAGTTGATAAACCAAATTTCAGTTAGCTTCCTTCTTGATGGATATTTGATGAAGAAATCTGGTTGTCATGTTTTATACCAGCTTCCTATTGAAGGGCCATTTTTAATAGCTGCCTGAATCTCACCTTCAGCAGGCTGATCTTACAAAGAGAATTTTCTGGACATGAAAATTCCCAGTTAAATGTGGTCTTGTGTTCCCCAAGGCACCTGATGGTCATCATGAAAACCTCATCAGTATTTCAGCCCTCTTAGTGGGAACAGAGGTTCCCCTGATGGCCTGAGATCTGTTTCCATGAGTAATCCCTCCAATGTTCAACACCACCCTCCTCCCTTTCCACACAGAGCAATCCTGATCCTTTGTTACAAACAGATGAAAAATGTAATAATCTGCCTGTAACTCTCATCCAGACCCTCTTCACACTCAATTCCTTATCTTTGTTTGTTTCCAGCACACAGTGGATCTTTTCTTTCCTCTCCAACATGCCTTCTTCTTCCTCTGCTGAGGACAAACACGCCTCCCCACAGTGTCAGAGCTGCTCTCCTTGCTCACTCTAATTTCACACCAACTTTCCTTTCCTCTTGAATGCATCCTGCTTTTATTTCTGTCAAATTTCATTATATATTACTTCCTTTGAAGCAGCTTCCCCCTCTTTTCCCTTGCTATCATAATTCTGTTTGCCTTCCCATCCTCCCCCTTAGGATTCCTATTTCTCAATTGCATTTTTCATGTTTATGTCCCTGCCATCCCAAACCATCCTGTGGTTCAAGCTCAAGCCCAAAGTGATGTCTTTTTACATCTTCCTCTAGGAGACTGTGCCTAAGCTCCACGTGGACAAATTGCTTCTGTACTTTTCAGACAAAATATTTCCCTTCTAAGTATCACCTCCACTCTGCTTCTCTCCTGTTTATGCTTCTTCCTTGAATCTGCAGCTTAAAACCTTCCTGGTTCCCTCTAAACAGCCTTGGTGCAATCCAACTCAGACAGAGAACAAGAGACAAGTGAGAGCTGGAGAACACTGGAAAGTGTGGATGAACACTAAAGAAATATGAAACATTCATTAAGAACTTGTAACATATCTTTTATGCAGTTCAAGCTTTAATATATTTAAGAAATATCTAAACTGGGAAAAAAACAATTGCAATAAATATTGAATTTGATAACCAAGTGCTAATTACCTTTCTCGAACAAACTCTGCCATTTCTTTCTGCATTTGTTTCCCTTTAAGTTGCTTTTGAAGAAGAATTTCAAATCCTGACACTGTGTTGTTCCCTTGTGAATCCTTCTTATCTGCCTGAAAGAAATAAAAGGAAGTTCAACAACAAACAAACCAAACCCACAGAGATGTGGTGCCTGAGGAACCCTCCCCTGAAAACAGCTGGTGGCTCTAGCACCCCAGACCCTCTCAAAGAAATAGCCCAACACTCTCCTGCTCCTCCTACTCATTTTTTGGGTTATTTTAATTTAAAAAGGGAAGCTTTACAATTATCCTTAGCCAGCAAAGGATGCTGTGGGGGACAAAGGGTTGGATGGGATATTGGGAAATAGGAATTGTTCCCTGGGAGGGTGGGCAGGCCCTGGCACAGAGTGCCCAGAGCAGCTGTGGCTGCCCCTGCATCCCTGGCAGTGCCCAAGGCCAGGCTGGATGGGGCTTGGAGCAACCTGGGACAGTGGAAGGTGTCCCTGCACATGACAAGGGTTGGGACAGAGTGAGATTTAAGGTCCTTTCCAACCCAAAGCAGTCTGGGATTCTGGAATTCTATTCTCTTCCTCCTGCACTGTCCTTTTGCCTGTGGTATTTTGAGATACATGGATTGTCCTGCATCCTCCCTGTTTCCTGAGCAAATCCAGCTCCTGAGAACTGCTCTTGCCTTTTTTTCTCTGATGATCAGCCACACCTCAGACTGGTCAGATGTTTCCAGGAGATCCTCATTGGCATCCCCAGTCTCTGTGGTACTCCCTGAACACATTGTATCTCAGCCCAAATTCTCCTTTACCTTGTACCACAAATCAAGCTGTTTATTCCACTTCCTTGGAAGCTCTGGAGCTGCATGTGGCATGTGGCTGGCTGCCCACTTACCCAGAAATAATCACAGTAGCTCCACTCTGAAGGTTTCAGCAACTGCTGCTCTGGCATTACGTCAGGGTGGGGGAAAGTCACACAGTTGATCTGTTTAAAAAAAAAAACAAAAACAAAAAAAAAGGAGAGTTAGACAGTAATGAAATTTAGCTGGTTAATGAGAAATACGTAAATCAAAAGTTATATCCATCAGAAAATCTGCAGTGAATGCATGCCAGGGAAGAAAAACTGGCTGTTGCATAGAAACAGCAGCTAAGTATTCCCAGAATGCTATTCTCTGCAGGCAGGAGTGTTGGCTCAGAGAGAAATAAGCTACCCATTTCACATGTAGAGGAAAACCTACTGGATTTGGAAAGCACCACGCAGGGAGTTCTCCCAGATCCCTGAAAACTGTGGTGAGAAACCTGATGTGAAACACCCTGAGCACACAAACAGTGAGCACCAGAGAGCACTGCAGGCACTGTTGGTGCTAAACACCTTTGGCTATGCTAGTCTCCTACAGGATGACAAAAAAAAAAAAAAAAGAATTTTTTCAGTGCATAGCCCTTCAATCTATGTCTAGGACCTTTTCAGATGGAAGTGATGCTCTGTAGAAAGGAGCAGGGGCTCTCTGGAGTCAGTGAACCTTCAGTGTTCACAGAGATCTGTCAGACAGGGCTCATCACACGCTCATTAAACAACAGCATCAAAAAGTCCAAGTGCTCATTAAGTTATCCCAGTGGAACACTGCAGCCTGCTAACAGCACAGAGAAGGCAATGAGCATCACAGCTACTGCAGAGCAGCCCTGCACACAGCTGAGCCTTTCAGAGGAAGCACCAGCAAGAGTCAGAGCTCGCTGCCAGTTTGTAAGGCTCACCCCAGATCCCTGCTGGGCAGGTACCCTAAAATCAGCCCCTCTCAGGGTCATGGGAACACAAAAAGCACTTGAGTATTTATCAAGGGATCAAGAGATATTGGGGATGGGATGTCACAGATGTAACTGTATGGGGGTGGGGTTTGTTTTGGATCTGTTAACTCTCACAGGAAACCCACACACAAATCTGTGGGTAGGGCTGGCACAGCTGCAGGGGCAGACCCAAAGGCACGCAGTGAATCTGCCTTTGGGCTATCCAGGGAGGATCAGAAAGGATGTGGCTGCTGGCACAGCACAAACCCACCATGCCAGAGCAGAGCAGGCAAAACCTTTAGCTGACACAAGCTGCTGCTACAAAGCCACACTGGTTCTGCTGCCTCTGCCCAGGCTGCAGGTTCTACAGCTGTCCTGTAACAGTGCAAAAGCTTGCTCCACACAAATCATCCTGCCCAGAGCTTGCCAAGCCCATCCCAAAGCAGGTTGAGGACCCTGTACATGTGCTGTCCTTGGCTGTCACCTCAACCAGATCCTCAAACCACGTATCTCACTTCCCAGCTCCCACCAGGCTCCAAACTGACCTGCAGGGCAGAGATCTGGGCTCTGCAGGCAGTGGCCATGCTCTGGTGACCCTGCACCTCCAACCAGGAGCCAGCCTCTCCAGCTAGAGCAAGAATGTCCCGTCAGAGCCAGCACCTCCAACCAGAGCCAGCATCATCTCCAGTCAGAGCCAACATCTCCAGACACTGCCAGCCTCCAGCCAGAGGCAGGATGTCCACTCAGAGGCAGCACCTCCAACAGAGCTGGCACCTCCAACCAGTGCCAGCCTCCACTGGCCACAGGGTCCCAAGCACAGGCAGCACTGCAAACACCCTCCCTGTTCCCTTGTGTTCCCCATCAGAAGAGTCATGCAGCAGGAGCTCCAGAACATCAGCTCATTTCAGAGCAGGATGGCCATGTCTAACCAACTGCACCTCCCAGGTGTGTTCTGCAGCCTCTAACTGAGTTCTGGGCATCACAGAATCATGGAAACATAGAATATCTCGAGCTGGATCATTGCATCGTGGCACTGCACACCACGACAGGGAGGTGAGCTGCAGTGGGGGGCACAGGAATTGTATCCTGCAGCTTAAAAAACTGCAGAGAGAAAGAGCATGGGAAATTCCCACTCCCTGCTAAAGGCAGTGCCTGCTCCACAAAACTAAATCCGTGCCAGTTGGAGGCTGCTGATTAGAGATGTGACAGTGAGTCTCAATGTCCTGAAGCAATAACCACAGAGTCACTGGAAATGCCAAGGCTGGACTGGTGACAGTGTCTCACTGCAGTGGACAGAACTCCAGGAATGCAGCAGGAAGTGGAACAGTGAGTGTGCACATCAGCAGGTGATGAAAGCAGGGTTAATTAAAGTGTTTCTCAAAGTTTCAGGAATAAATTGAAATATTTTTTACTTATCCAAAGACTGAATTGTCTGGAAATGATGCTGAATTTCTGGAAAAAGTCATGAGGCCATTTGGGTCTCACTTTTAAAAGGGAATTGGTGCCAGAATTAAAAAAATCAAAAATGCAGAAGCTTTTACAATCTTAAAAACAAAAGCAAAGTATTATGGTAAATGGAATTTAACAGAACTTACATCTTTTTACACTAAGTCCCACCAGGGGGCATGAAAATTTTCTAAACTCTAGAAATATTACTAAAAATTCAATATGGCTACATAGGTAATCCTGTGATTTTTCTTTCCTTTCATTACCCCAGATTTCTTATACTTAAACAAGAGCTCTTGGACTGGTATTTCCTAGCATTTCTAAAACCTCTCAGGATTTCCCAGCAGGAGTGGAACACCAGGCTGGCACTGAGCAGCAGTGGCATGATGCTGTGGCATTCCATCCTCCCAATCCTCCCTCTGAAATGCTCCTTTTCTTCCTTCTAAAAGCAAAGAGAGCTGAAAAAAAAAACAAAACAAAACACCCAACAAAAAAACCACTCTCCTTCACCAGCTTGGTGCCACTGGTGAGCTGAGTGATGCTAAGGACAGCCAAAGCATCTCGTGATGATGTCCCCATGTCTGACAGCTCTGAACAGCCCCATCAGTCCCCTGGACAATGACACTCCCTCCATGCAAAGGAGCAGTGCCCTCACTAATTTTGAGAGGCCACACTTTGCTCACATCCCTGAAAGCTGCCCAGGCTCCATGCAAGCTCCAAATCCACACCTGTGGCAGTGTGGATATTTTAATAATGCTGACTTGCCAGCAAGGCCCAACAAAAGCTTGCAGAAGGTGACTATTACAGCTGTAATTGCCAGGAAGAAACAAAACTAATTAAAACACACCTCTCAGATAATGATGGAATCACAGAACAGGAAGAGAAAACAAGGTGTGATGACCTGCATTGCATTCCCACAAGCTCCACTGGGACAGCTGAGGTGATAATCAGCCTCACCATGATATTAAGTTCTTATGCAGCCTCTTTGTCAAAATAATGGCTATTGTCAGTTTGAAACAAAGCAGAATTAATAACAAGGCACCAGCAAGGCAAAACCCCAAGGAAGAGCTGAGCAAACCTGCCAGAGGACAACAGCTTGTCTTTCCAGCTGCCACTGGCCACGAGTGGCACCAGGAAACCTGTCTGGGAGCCACTGGATGAAAGAGGACAGAAGGTTGAGAGTCAGAGAAGGAAAAACATGGTGACAAACAAAGCTTGGTGGAGGACACACACAGAAGGGATCAGAGAAGCAGCAAAAATTGATGCATTTCTCTTGACAAACTGTGTGCCAGACTCAATGGATTAAAATACTTTTGCCTGTGTACTGATCATGAGCAAATGCAATTATACTTTTAACAGCTGAATATTCCAGCTCCTGTTTCCCACGAGTACATTGGCAATAATGACAAAACGAGCTGTTTATATTGTAGGTGACTCTTAATTATGTCTGAGACACAAAAGGGTGACAGAAGAGGAACAGACCCAAGGAGCCAGATGAATGCACAGGATTTGCAGAGGAAAAACAAACTTTGTTGGGTTGGACATGCACATTAATCTCCTGGATTTCAGAGTCTATACAGGCTTTGAAGTAACTCACCAGTAAATGAAACATTGCCAAGCAACATGAATAAAACAAGAATAATTTGATCAAAGCTTAGATAATCAACTACATGTTTATTACATCAGGCACAACATAAAGAAATGAGCAGAGAGCAGGATTACTTCCTGTGCCACACTCAAGTGACTAAAGCAGGGCAACATTTTTGCTTATCTCTTCAACTTAAAAATGGACATTATTTTTTTTGATTTCTACACATTCTCAGCATCTTAAACACAGAAGAGATATGCCAGACTGCCTCACTTCAGTATCTTTACAACTTCAGCTGAGACCCAGAAAGTACAACATCCAACACTGAGTTCATATGGCAAATGGAACTATTTGGGTAAAAAAAGCCAAATGCAAAGGCTGGAGAAGATCTCAGAAGAGCTTGGGCAGCCTGAAATCTCCCCAGACAGGGAAGCCCAGAAATGCCCAGGCTATGAGTTTGCCCTGGGTTTTAGCTCTGGTCGGGTGATGCTGAAGCTATGGTACCACAGAAGGGAAGAACACACAATTCAAGTCCTCACTGTTAACAAATCCATTGATTCCTTCCAATTCCAAAGGAAATATTCTGCCAAAAGTGTGAGGAGCCCTCTTTACTTGGTCTATCTGCAGAAAGGTTCAGAGACTATTCAGGCCCCTGCCCAACCAGGGCTTTTCTGACAGCATCTACCACAGTCAGCCCCAGGCAGAGGGGGGAACTGTGCTGAACATGCAGCCCCACGCTGTGCTCATCACAACCCTGTGTGTGTCACACTTATCAGACACAGAGCCCAGCAGGAAATCCCAAGTTCCTGTGCACAGGCTGCCCATCTTCCCATCTGCAGCACGTGTTTTCTGACGTGCCCAGCACATGCAATCCAACCACCAGCATCTTCCTGCACTATCCAAACAAGAGAATTTTTAAGAAAGAAACCCACACTCAGAAATACCTCATAATCAGGAAGCTTTCCTGCTATTCCAAGTAAGACACAGCTCTGTTCCTCAGGTGATATCCCCCTGTACATTCTCCATTTAACACTCCCTCACCTATTGTATCTCCAGCATCCACAGACAGCTCATGGCCAGAGGCTTCAGGAATCAGCCAGCAATCCATCCAGCTTTAAAACAGCAAGTTCACCCTGAAATTAATTGTAAAACCAGCAGAGACCACAGACCTGCAGTTTCATGACAGCCTCTGACATACCCAGCTAGAGTTTCTCTTCCAAAGAAGATGGAAGACCATGAGAGTAACATTCACTGACCAAAGAGAAAATATCAGATTATTCTTGTTGGTTGCACACAGATGGGAAATCCTCCAGCTCCACCTTCCTTCAGGGTTTTCAGAAGCTGTGCTACTAAATGCCACTTGGATGCAGAGGAGGCAGATGCATCCTGAGGAAGATGCTCCCACTCCTCTGCTGAAGGCGATGACGCAGCAACAGCTTGGCTGGACATCACCTGATGTCTGCAGCTTGTGTGCCACAGGATTTCGGTTTGAAGGGAGGTTTCCTGCACCAAAAGCCTTGAAGTAAATCACAGAATTCCCCTGCAATAAGAGGTTCTGCCTGAGCACAGCTACAGACCAAGGAAAAGCATCTGACAGCAAGCTAAGCACATGCCCTGAAGCTCTGCTAACCAGAACATCTCCACGTCAGCTTGAGTGGCACTGAGCACACAGATCCTCCTAGGAGACAGTGAAAACACACTGTTTTACAGTTTACACTCCTTAAGAGATTTATTTTTCACAATGCTGCCTTGATGGAGGCAATGGCTTGGAGCAAACAGCTGTTAAAATTAGCTTATTTTTGTCTATCTGATTCATCCTCCTTGAAAGCTTTGAGCTTCTGCTGGAGAAACGCACACCCAGTGACCCTGACATAACACACAGTTTGCTTTGCAGATGTTACCTGATGGCACATGGGCCAGCAAATATGGAAAAGCACCCTCAGAGAACAGCCTGGGCCTCAGCCCCGTCAGCAGCAGGGATTGCAGGGAAACAAGCACTCCTGCTCTTGTGCTCAGCCCAGTGCACCCCACCCTGCGTGACCATGGCTGCCCCCTCTGGACATGATGTTCAGCCCATGATTTACCTCAATCCCCCAATCTGAGCAGGCAGGGGCTGCATTCAAGGGCTGGGACATGTTTCCTGTCCCAGCCACGCAGCCCTGGAACAGCTGATTCTCCCAGACATCTGCAAAAATATCTGAACATACAGATTTATGCTGGCTTCAAAGAACACTGCACTCTCAATAAACCAATTACCAGTACTAACATTGGTAACAACCAATTTTTATAACTAATATCACTGATTGAAGTGTTTTTTCTTTTCAAAAACTGTTGAAGATTTCTCCCTCCTGCCCTAGAACACTGTACCTGCATGGCAGTGGCTGACTCACATCTCAGTCAGAGGCACTTCTGTGTGCTTCTTTTGAACCCTGGTCTCAGCCACCAGCAGTCCAGCCCTCTAAAGAATAAATCTGTAGGCTGTATGTGACAATGCAGACAACCATTTCCTCCTCATAGTAACAATAACAAGGATGTATAATATTAAATTATTCCTTTTGTTCTCAGGGACTTGATACTCCGCCAATACTTGCAGCTGCAAGAATTGCTTCCCCTTTATTGCTGAAAATTAATTTATCTGTTCATTTATTCTGATTTCCATTTAAATAAAACTTTATATCATTAGCCACTTTCACTCATCTATTATGATTTCCTTTCTGGTTTTAATCACCTGTCCTGCACTGAAGAGCCCATAAGTGCTAATTGTGTTCCAGATAAGGTCACCAAGCACACAGAAGTTATATTGTAATGTCTGTAAACTGAGCTAGATCATACAACTAAGAACATTTCCATTCATAACACAGAATCATAGGATGGCTTAGCTTGGAAGGAACATTAAAGCCCATCTTGTTCCATCCCCCTGCCATGGGCAGGGACATCTTCCACTATCTCAAATTACTCCAAGCCCTGTTCAGCCTGGCCTTGGACACTTCCAGGGATCCAGGGACAGCCACAGCTGCTCTGGACAGTGTGTACCAGGGCCTCCCCATCCTCACAGGGAACAATTTCTTCCTGCTAGCTAATCTAAATCTTTCTTTCAATTTTAAACCATTATTCCCTGTCCTGTCACATGTTCATGTAAAAAGTCTCATCATTGAGACAATTATACTTCATTATAAAGACTAAAAGTAAATGTAAGATTGACTTCACACTGAAATATAAAATCTCTGCCTATACTTTCCACCAGAAATCTTCACTTGGACACTCTGCCACAAGAAACCTTGACACCTCAAATACAAATTGAAAAAAAAAAAAAAAAAAAAAAAAAAAATAAAAAAAAAAAAAAAAAAAAAGATCTTGCTCTGTCTTCCTCTAACTCTTCAGTACGTCTCCCAGTACCGACGCTGTTGTGGAGGGGGGGATGATCAGATGAGGAAGTTTTTTCAGGACCCCTGGTTCACCTCTTAAGGCACCGCGTTCCCTCCTGCTCCTTCTGGAACCATTATTCCACGGAAAACGGAAAGATCCCAAACTCTCCGCGGGTTTAGCGGCGTTTGAACCAAAACGCCGCGGGGACAGGATGCTCCGGCACGGGGTGCCCAGCACGGAATCCCCGCGGTTGCCCAGCTCCATTGCCCGGTGCTTAGCACGGAATCCCCGCGGTTGTCCAGCTCCATTGCCCGGTGCTTAGCACGGAATCCCCGCGGTTGTCCAGCTCCATTGCCCAGAGCCCAGCACGGAGCCCCGCGGTTCCTCAACCCCAGTACCCAGCACGGAATCCCCGCGGTCCCCAGCCCCGGTGCCCATCACAGAATCCCGCACTTCCTGAGTCCCGGTGCCCAGCACGGAGCCCCGCGGTGCCCAGCCCCGGTGCCCGCTATCCCCGCGGTGCCCAGCCCCGGTGCCCGGCATCCCCGTGGTCCCCAGCCCCGGTATCCCCGTGGTCCCCAGCCCCGGTATCCCCGCGGTCCCCAGTCCCGGTGCCCATCACGGAACCCCCGCGGTCCCCAGCCCCGGTGCCCGGTATCCCCGCGGTGCCCAGCCCCGGTATCCCCGTGGTGCCCAGCACGGAATCCCCACGGTTCCCCAGCCCCGGTATCCCCGCGGTGGCAGCCCCGGTGCCCCGCTCTCACCGTCAGGCTGCTCTCCTTGCTCTGCCGCCGCGGCGCCGCCGGGGATCCCGGGCTCTGCGGAGGGAAGCGGAGCGCATCATCGCGGCCGCTCTCGGAGCCCAGCATGGCTGCGCGGGGCGGGGAGAGGCGGGTCCCATGGCACGGCTCGGCTCGGCTCGGCTCGGGAGGCAGGGATGGAGGGAGGGGGAGCTGCGGGACGCCCCGGCTCGCTGCTCCGCCTCTCTCGCCTCCGCCGCACCGAGCGCGGAGCCGGGGCTGGCTGCGCCGTGGGACGGTGGCACCGCTGGCGGGGTGGGAAGAGTGCCCTGCCACCGTGGGACGGTGGCACCGCTGGCGGGGTGGGAAGAGTGCCCTGCCACCGTGGGACGGTGGCACCGCTGGCAGGGTGGGAAGAGTGCCCTGCCACCGTGGGACGGTGGCGTCACACCCCCCTGAGGACCGGGACACGAGTCTGGGTGTCCCGTGCGGTGGCACTTTGCTAGGTACGAGAACAAGGGACGGTGACATCCACTGCTGCGGACAGCGATGGTGGCAGTTCCTACTTTTCTGTGGAATGGTGGCATCATATCCCCGTAGGACAGGGACACAAACGTGTCCCAGAGTCCCCCAGGGGGGCAGTGCCCTCTGTCCCTATCGCAGGGTCCCTGGTGGGGCTCAGATGCTGTGACTGCTCTGCAGCACGTGAATCGCTCCTGGCATCATTTGGGACTCCCACCCCAAATCCCACTGCTCGGGCACCCGGTGCTCGCCCAGGGACTCGACACCCAGCAGCACCAAGGTGCCAGCACCACACACGTGCAGTTCCATGGCTGTTCTGCTGTCCCCTTGGTGGCAGTTGTGACAACTTGAACGGGCAGCATTTAGCTGCTCTCTAGGAAGCCATAAACAAGGTTTGGCTGAGTGCCCAGCACAGCATAGCTCCGTGTTGTTCTCACTTGTGGCTTTTCCCCCCACCCCCTGACCTGTTTCCAAGAAATGTGGCTGAGCTTGCTGTAAAGAGATTTTGCCAGCATTTGTTTGCATGGTGGCTGCTGCCCAGGTCCAAGAAAGCATCCTGGCCAAAGCCTAGGAGCTGCTCCACAGTGGGAGCCGGCCCGTGCCAGCAACAGACAAGGAAGCAGTCAAAGCAGAGCAGCTTAGAATGGCCCAAGACATGCAAGGAGAGAGAGAGACAGGCCAAAAAGACTTGGAGGATATGCAGAACAGCTTCTTGCAACCACAGGTTTATGGTCAGATGCTTTCCTTAGTAAGGACTCTTCTGCAAAAGCTGCCACAGCCCCCAGGAAAAGCAGCTTCCCAAGCGGGCGTAGACACAAGCTGTTCTGAGAATTAATGCCACCAGCAGCCAGTTAGGGATTCAGAACTAATTCAAAGCAGGTTCAAAGCAGAGATGAAGCCAGGAGTTCAGTTTGGAAAAACCTGTAACAAAGGAGAAGTGGAATGGAGGCAATGAAGGGAATGAGAAAAGTCATGAAAGGGATTTCTGACAGGCTGATGTTTGAGTCAGCTGAGCAAAGCACTGCAAGGCACTGAAAGGCTGAGAGAGCCTGGAGAAGAGAGGGCTCCAGGAAGACCACAGTGGAAACTTTCAGTACCTGAAGTCAGCCTACAAAAAGCTGGAGAGAGATTTTGGACAAAGGCCTGGAGTGATAGAAAAAAGGGGGAATGGCTTCCCATTGACAGAGGGCAGGGTTAGATGGGATAGTAGGAAGAAATTGTTCCCTGTGAGATTGGTGAGGCCCTGGCACAGGGTGCCCAGAGAAGCTGTGGCTACCCCTAGATCTCTGGAAGTGTCCAAGGTCAGGCTGGACAAGGCTTGGAGCAACCTGAGATAGTGAGAGGTATCCCTGCACATGGCAGGGGTGGCACTGGATGGGCTTTAGAGTCTCTTGCAGCTGAAACCATTCTGGGACTCCATGACTCCTCATGTATCTCAGATGTGAATTTGAGTAAGACTCAGCACTGTAAAAACAGAAGGTGGCAAATGTTGCTACAAAGGAAGTTTTGCAAAAGTTAGTTAATCTGTGCTCCAAACCAACTACAAAAACATTGGAGTCAGATACCTTAAGAATATATATATTTTTTTTTTTGGGCACAAAGATTCACAAGGGACTTTTTGAAAGAAGTCACAGCCTACAAGTTTATTTGGGTTCCCTGACGGAGTCACAGAAGGTGTGTGGACAGGGATGTCTGGTAATGCACTACATAAAATTCTAAAATTCTTTTGACCTAGTTTAGGTGCTCACTGTCTCCAGCCTGGGCAAACTGCTCAGAGAAACAGCAGCACAGGGAGTTAGTACAAGATGTTTGATGTGGAAGAAGCAGGGAATCCAAAGAGCTGGACTGTATCAGGAGAAATGCCATGAATCTAAAATAGGAATACTGACCTAGGTGAAAGGCTGAAGGGAATTGCTTAACAGAGAGAGGGTGAAGGCAAAATGGGATTGTTATCAGACAACACAAAACTTAGACCAAGAAACAGAGAATGTCAGAGCCACAGAGAGCAGCACGCAGGCCAGGGCAGCAGCACACCAAACACTCATTTCCCCAGGGATGTTTAGCACTGCAAAAGGACTCACCACTTTCATACAGAAAGGAAACAGAAAACTCAGGTCTGGGACCACTGAGGGAAACACCAGAGGGTGGGGAAGCACAACTGGAGTGTGATGCACCAGCTGTGGCAGTCATGTGGTCATATGGTGAGGTTTTGGCAGGGAGCAAAGAGTTTCATGGGAGGAGCTGGAAGAGGGCCCTGTGCTGCATCTGCAGACCTGTGGGGAAGAATTTCCCAGGGATATGACGTGTTGCAGGCAAAAGTGCAGAGATATTTATTGGAAATTTGGATGAAGGCAGGGGAGGCCAACTGTTCACAGGTCAGCATCCTGTAGGTTAACTCGGGGTGATGTGCTGGGTGAGGCACTGAGGAGGGGCTGTAAAAGGACAGGCCAGAGTGGATGAAGTCATTGAGAAAAAAGCTTTGGATGAATTCTTTGTGAATACTGTCTTTGGGAGGGAAAGCTGGAGCTGCAGGAAAATACAATGAGATACAGACATGGGCGGATGTGCAAGTGCAAAGAGAGGACTGTGCTGGACACAGGCCCAGAGTTCAGGCTGGAGTGACACGAAAATTCATAGGGTTGTTAATAGTGACTGAAGTGGCTTGGTGGATTTTTCAGAAAGGAGTGATAGGACAAAAAATCCAAAGGATCTTGGCTTTTTTTACTGTTTTACCAGCTGGACACAAAGACTAACTATGCTACATGCAACAAATCTGTCTGATCTGAGTTTCTAAAAGAAAATGACCTCTTGACTTCTTGCACTGCGTGGATTCCTAAACTACTTAAGTGGAAACCCATTTTTTCTTGGATCCTGCTGTTTGCCTTTTCCCCAAAACTTACCTGGGTGTCCCCACTGGGTTTTCGGAGGCTCATGTGACCCGACTCGAGCTGGTGGACTGGGGACCCAGAGATGTAGTAGCCATTCACTGTAAGAGCAGATGGAGAGTTAGTAGGCTTGCTGCTGATAGCCAATGCTAAACTGCACAAATTAAAAGCTAATCCCATAACTGAATATGCAGATATATATCACAGTGATTTAAGGCTTAGTTGTATTTCTCATTACCCTACTGTGATTTGATGGGTAATAGATTAAACATTTTCCTGAGTGGAGTCTGTTTTGCCCATGATCATAATGAGTGATGCCTCCCTGCCCTTATCCCAACCCTTTTGTTGTATTTTTCACCCCCATTCACCTGAGGAGGAGAGTGACAGAGTGGCTTGCTGGGCACCTGGCATTAAAAGTACTGGTCCAAGGGAGTTAAGTTTTCATGTCAAGCCTTGCAAGAAGTTTATGGTTCCTGCATGGAACAATAATTGGCCTTTTTTCTCATATACTGAGCAAGGAACAATGCTCAAGGTAGTGTTGAAACAAGATACTCAACTACATTATAATTCCTTTGGTCACAATAAAATGAACAATCTTCACACAGACTACCTACCCAGGTCTGCCAATAAAGAAGGACATCAGTTCAAAAATTTCAAAGGAAAACATCCTCTAACCTGCTTTATTTATAGTCAGCTGGCAGCAATGGCCTTCACATTTAACACTTTTTATTCCAGAGTAATTTTTGCTTTGCTTTGTCATTCTGCAGTACCCAAGAGCTTTTCAGTACTGTTATACATCTGACTGTTACTTGCTTCCCTGCAACCTCAAATCGAGACAGAGATGATCTATATGGTCACCCCTGTAGCCACCACATGCTAAAACTCTTTGTTGTGCCTATGTCCTGCGTGGAAGAGCATCAGCCAGCCCACGTGTGTCTGCAGCTCTTTGATTTCCCTGCCCTGTCACAAAGCAGAACTGAGGAAGTGCTTGTTGGGCCCCTCTTTGCCTCTGTGCACCCAGAAGGAGCCACCCCAGCTCCTGAGTGGACACTTCAGACACCCACAGAAGATGGAGTGGCAGGGCAACAATAGTGCAGAGGATGTGTCAGGAGGGAAAGCCCCACCATGTTTGCTCTGCTACACTCTCATGGCCATGTAGCCTGGAGAAGAGAAGGGTCTGGGGAGACATTAGAGTCTGGCAGGGATACAAGAGAGATAGAAAGGGACATTAGGCAAGAGCTGGAGTGACAGCACAAGGGGAAATGGCTGTAAACTATGTGAGGATAGACTGAGATCAGAGATTAGAAAATCTGTGAGGGTGGGGAGGCCCTGGCACAGCATGCCCAGAGAAATTGTGGCTGCCCCTGGATCCCTGGAGGTGTCCAAGGCCAGGCTGGACTGGGCTTGGAGCATGTTCCATAACCTGGGATAGTAGAAGGTGTCCCTGCCCATGGCAGGTGGAACAAAATGATCTTTAAAGTCCCCTCCAACCTGAACCATCCCATGATTCTGTATGTCCACCAAGTCTCTCTCCCCCTATATCACAGCACTTCCCTTTGCTTTGCTGAATGGCAGAGAAGCAGATTCACCCAGGCACAGCATCAAACATCACCTGCAGAGCTCTTCTGTGACACAGGGCTCTTGGGAGTGCCAGGCACGCTGCTCGGCCGCTCCCACGTCGTTTCTGTTGAAGGGAAACACCAGTGGCAGGGTGATGGAGGCTTTTGCACACATACCACAGTTATGACTATTACACACAAACCAGTGGCTCTGACCCTCACTGTCCTCTGAACCAAGTTCTGACCCGGTGAGAAAGATGCCTGCACCTCCTCTCTCCCCTCATCTCTTCCTGCCACAGCTGCCAGCTGGGATGGGTGGAGACAGAGCAGACTGGAAGCTGCATCACTGGTTCTTCCAGGTCACTGCCTAGGAACACTCAGCTGGCCTGCACTGACTGCCTTCCCAGGTGCACTGAAGTCCAGCCCAGCGTGGGCACTGCCACGTGCCAACCGTGGTCCTCAGCAGGGGACAGAGTGCCTCTGCCCCTGCTCTCTCCAAGAAAGGCAGCTGTGAGTGACTCACAGATGTGGTTCCAGTCACATTTACACAAGCCTTAGCACCTTTTTTCCGCCTAAAAAATACTTATCTGGAAAATTCCCTTTTTTCCACTCAGGTCACTTAGCAGCTGGAATATGCAAATGTTTGTCACACCAGTTGTGATGCTCCAAAGACTGCTGCTGCTTTCCCCCCTCAGTTGCTCTGTATTTTAACCATTCTACTCATTTTATCAGCAAATGGAAAAATTGTTTTTGACCACATGCTGAAGACACAAGATTTAAGTGAAAAACTTTTTAGAAGTTGTGAACAGAAGACAGGAGAATGAGAGCAGCAACTTTCACAGAAGTCCAGGTAGAAAGCCCAAGGAACCACTCCTTTTGAAGGCACAGGTCAGTTCCAAATCAACTACACAACACTGATTGCCAGATGGTATCAATAAGAAAATTAACAAGTCACTGTAATCAAGTCTGAGGGCTACTTTGGCTGCTTCACTTGAAACTGCTGTTTCCCAAATCCCAACAAGCAACCATCTAATTCTGCCAAAGCCTGAAATCCTGCACCTGTGTCAGCATTCTGCATGCCCGTGGTAAAGCAGGGATGGAGGAAAGCCCTTGTGCATTAACAGTTTAGGCTTGGCAGTGAGCACCTGCCTCAGGGCACAAAAAGCCTCCTGTCCCGGGTCAATGCTTATTTGGGCATCAAGCAGAATGTTAACATGCTTCAAGAACCATAAAAAGCCTATTCTTAGATATAGATTCATGCACATGTGTATATTCATATATGTATCTATATGCATATAGATGTCTATGTGTATATATATGCACAGAGATGTCCTCAAGGGTTGTGTTAGATTCCTTATTTCAGAAAGAACTCAGGATTACAGATCCCAAATGGAAGCAGGTGCCACACCTGTAATGTTCCTGAGATACATGCCCTGCCCCTCCCCATCCTTCCCCTCTCACCCCCTCCCCAAGCCACAACATGCTTCTGCCTGCAAAGAAAAATACTTAGAGCTTTTTCTTCCATTACAAGTGCAAAACCTGAACTAGAAGCTTTGCTGGGTCACGGGGGAATATTTAAATTTTAGCCTGTTTTTGTGAACTGGGTAGTAAATAAATAAATTCCATGCTAGATCAATAAAGAAGCACTGAGGAAGTGTCTTCACTAAACAGAAGCAAAATCAAATGCAAATAGTTGTCTTTTATGAGTCAGCCTCTCTTTGCTTACAATCCACAAGTGCATGGTTAAATAAAGACAAATTCTAATTTACTGTAAGGCAAAGGTAAACAATACAGTACACACGTGTCTTGAAGATTTTAAAAAAAAATTAAATTGTCGATTAGTTAGTAATAATAATGTGAGTTGAGATCTGTGGGAAGGGACTGTGATGCCCACTGATGCTGAGCCCCAGTGCAGTCAGTGAAGTAATTTTTTTGCCAGCACTGAGTTTGATGTTAGCAGTAAAGCAAGCTACCTTCATATTTGGCTTGGGGGTTTCACACGAGCATATCTATCTCCAGATTTCTGAGACCCTGCAGAGGAATGCACCCAAAAACCTACAAAATATATATGAAATGTAATGAATTGGTTAAAGTGACGTGGCTCAGCTAGCCAGAGCATGGTGCTAATAAATAAAGGTTGTGGGTTTGGTCCCTGGATGGGCCATTCACTCAAGAGCTGGACTTGCTCATCCTTGTGGGCCCCTTGCACCTCAGAATGTTCTGTGATTCTGTGAAAATCACCAGCTGCTTCTTGTATCTGCTCTCTGCTCTGCCTGTGGAGCTGCTGTGCAGTGCCTCATTCTTCCCCTCTGCCACACAGAGGACCCAGACACAGAACTTGAGGGCAGAAAATTCACACATGAAAGAGCAGTGCCCAGTGGTTAGCAGATTTGTGAATCCAATCCAAAACATTCAGTCTCTTGACAAATTTTCCAAAATAAAATTACTCTGGAGTTAAGCACATTGAAAAATAAAATTTAAAAAAAAGCTATAAAATGCATTAAATAGAGAAAACATATTTAATTAGGTAGGAAATTAACAAGAGTGTTTTAACTCCATTTATTTTGAGCATTAGGAGGAAAAAAAGCCCACTTCTGTGCAGGGATTATTCTGGCAGCTCAAGTAGGGACAGGAACTAATCTGGATCAGGACTGCACTGCTGGAATGCCATCTACTGGAAGCAACTATGTTTACCAAGGTAAAACTGTGAAATTACAAATTTCTTTGCAGCTTAGTCATGATTAGAAGTGAGAGTGGGGATTAGAAGTGAGGGGGGGATGACTTTTTTTACAGAGACACAGAGAAGGCTTGTTGAGAGACAATGCACTGTCTGATCCAGCAAAGGCAGAGTCCTGTCTGGGAGTGCCACATGGAGCCTTCAATCCTGGTGCTTGGAAAATCAGAAGGCTACTTGTCACCCTGTGGTAAAACAGTGATCATGGCTTTTAGGAACAGATTCCACATTGGCCCAGATTTTACATACCACACAGTTTTTCCAGTCAAACTAAACCCTTGTACTCTGGGTGCAATTTAGCACTGGCAGACCAACACCAACAAGTTCTGTCCTCCCTTATCAGCCAATGTTAATGAGACCATTTAGGCAGTGTGGGGAAGGAATAACCAGCAGTTTCCTTGAGAGAGATGACCCAGCAGACAAATGCAGACAATTCTGGGCTGTGAACAACAAGAAATAGTGCAGCCCTGGGAGATACCCAAGGCCAGGGCTAGGAGCCATCTGGTCCAGTGGAACATGTTCCCTGCAGGGAGCTGGCACAAGGTCCCTTCCAACCCAAACCATTCCGTGGTTCTGTGGAATTTAGTTAGTGAACAGCGAGGCAGGAGAAAACCACTTGTTAAAACTGAAATGACAGAGTAAAAGGAAAAACAGTTACAAGATCCAAGCTCTACTGCCCAACGGAACCGGAGAGGCTTTTCACAGAAGTGGTGAAACATTTCCTACCAGAGGAAAAGTAGAAACCTGTGGTGTTTGGGGGAAGCAAGTTCACTTCTGTTTGGCAGAATGAGAAATGACATGATGTGTCAGAGAACTACACACCCTGGGATGTTGGGTTAGTCAAGAAACATAGCTTCTGAGAATATCCTGAAGAAGACAATTTTTGTGATCACACTGAAGAATGAATTGCTGGTCACTCTTCCATGAATTCAGTAGCACTCTAAGGTGACAGGAGCTGCTTTCCAGTTTGAACATACATCATCAGCCAAATGTCAGGGCTTTATGTACCAGCACAATCCCTCATGAACGTGCTCATATTCCTTTCATTTTAGTACCTCAGCATGGTGTCATGTGTAGTTCTATTTTTAGAGCCAAACACTCCATAGTTTCATTGTCTGAACTATGAGAATGGAGCAGATCAAGCCAGTGGACCTCTGGGTCTGCTTACTGTGCAGAAACCTCTCGGGGTCTTAAGGATCTGTAGCACCTGCCCTTTGTCACACAGATACTTGTGCTAATTCACATCTTTATAAATAGATTTGGAGTTTATTTTGGCTTTAACTGCAATAAATCTGTGATGCTGAGCAGCTCCAAACCCAGTTTCTGCCCTGAATAACCTGAAGCTGTGCAGGTTGCACAGGCCAAGGATGAAGGTGCACAGACAGGGATGAAGAACAGCAACAGAACATCTCCCTCCTCAATGCCACAAGAAGAAACCCCAAAAACTTCTCCCAAAGTGGTCCTGAAAAATAGCAGAACTGGAAGTCATGTCTGCAGAAGGGCAGAACAGGCCCACACAGTTTTAACTCCTCCTTTTTGGATTCACTTTTGCCAATGGCAGGAAGGAAACACCTTGCAGACAGTTTGCAAACCCTCCATAACTTTTCTATGCTTCTCCACTGCATCTCCAGAGACTCTCAGCAAGGTTTGTGGCCTGTCCATAGCTCCCCAGAGGGTAAAGATTGGTTGTCCCTGTAACTCAGAGGGAGGGCAATCAGCTTTGCTTTGGAAACAGGTTCCAAAGATTTGCTTTAGCAGCCCAAACCTCCCATCTGCCTGGAACACCATGCTCTGAGCATCGCCTCAGCAGCCACGAGCAGAGAACTGTCAGGGGTGTCACACCTCATGCCCCCTTTCTGGCTAAGATCTTCCCCCCATTTGTGAGGAATTGGCAACGTCTTCATAGCATTTCATTTCTTGATACTGTGTGTGGCAGAAAAAAGCCCAAAGGAATGGTCAAGGGAGTGTGAGGCCTTGGGCATGCAAGGAGGGAACTTCACTCACAATACCCCGAGACTGGTGTGAACCCTTCAGAACTTTTGAAGTAGAAGGAGTGGGTGAACGAGAGTGCAATGAAAATATTTTCCCTTCTGTTCCACAGAGGATGTGTAGTACAAGACCGTGTTTCACTGGAACAAGGAGGTCTCACCACTGCATCAGTCCACAGAAGTGACTCAGACCAGCCCTAACCTCCTGCAAACCAAAGGCTGTGGACTCTCCTGATTCAACACAGAAGTTTCTTCATCTTTGTGCTCCCACATTTTGGTCCACTGAGCCCTGCAGTACTGAATTCCTGCATGGGTCACCTGTACCAGTGTCAGCTTGAAATGCCCAAACCACCAGCCCATGCCTGAGCCTCTGAACTGCAACACAGTGACCTCACACTCCTCC